ACAAGACAAGGGTGCCCACTATTACCTTTGTTGTTTGTGTTAACTTTGGAAGTGTTAAACAGAAATATTAGAGATGAAAAGAATATAAAAGGAATGAAAATCAAAAAGGAAGAATTTAAGCTGCAAGCATTTGCGGATGATCTGGTTTTCATCTTAGAAGACCCTTTAGAAACAGCATCAAAATTGATAGAAAAGATAGAGACATATGGAAAGGTGGCTGGTTTGAAAATAAATAAAGATAAGACAAAGATTTTGACAAAGAATATGCTATTAAGACAAAAGGAAGAACTGGCAGATCTATTGAAAATTCAGGTCACAAATAAGATCAAGTACTTGGGGATATATTTGACAGCAAGATGTAGTACATTAAAAGAGAATAATTATATTAAACTTAAACAGCAGATAGCGCTAGATTTGGCGAAATGGGAAAACTTACAACTGTCACTAATAGGGAGAATTTCAACAGTCAAGATGAATATATTACCCAGAATTTTATATTTGTTTCAAACAATTCCAATTAGGCTTGGAAAAGACTACTTTGAAGATTTAAATAAAATTGTGTTGAAATATATATGGCAAGGTAAGAAAACGAGAATAAAGTTAAAACTTTTTCAAGATGCTAGAATTAGAGGAGGATTTGGTTTGCCTAATTGTGAGTTGTACTACCAAGCTACAAATTTGATGTGGGTTAAGGAATGGATAACACTAAGAAATACTAGATTGTTGACATTAGAAGGACATGATTTGTTGTTGGGGTGGCATGCTTTTTTATGGTACAAAGGAACTAAAACACAGGGGTATTTTAGAAGACATTATATACAGGAGTCTCTGTGGTTAAACTGGGAGAAGATTAAAAGACAATGTTATTTGAAAATTCCAGTCTGGTTATCGACTATTGAAGCATTTTCGTATCCTATAATATACAAAAAGGAACAAACAGATATGGTGAAATATTGAATGAAAAGGGTGAACTTAAATCTATGCAAAAACTAGAGGAACAAGATATAAAGATGAATTGGTTTTCATATGCGCAAATACATTCAAGGTATGATAAAGATTCTAAAACAGAAGGTTTCTATGATAAACTGACTGACTTAGATAAGATTTTGACAGGTACTGATGAAAAGGTGATTAAAAAATTGTATGGATATTTATTAAAAATTAAACTAGAAGAAGAACAAGTTAAAGAAACTATGATTGCTTGGGGGAAGAATTTTGGATGTGGGATTGATTTAGAGAAATGGCAAAAACTGTGGTCTCAAAATTATAAAATGACAATGTCAACAGCATATAAAGAAAATTTGTATAAGATGTTTTACAGGTGGCATTTCCCCCCGACAAGAATAGCAAGAATGTTCAAGAATAAATCCGAAAAATGTTGGAAATGTCATCAGATACCTGGCTCATATTACCATATGTGGTGGACTTGTGCGGATGCTAAAAAATACTGGACTAAAATTCACATGTGGTTGGAAAAAATGACAAAAAAACATATAGACTTGAAACCAGAGATATTTTTATTGGGAATTTTACCTGAAATATATAGTAAAGACTTGAAATACCTGATTGCAAATGTATTAACAGCGGCTAGGATTGTATTTGCTAAAAACTGGAAAAATGAGAAAATAACATCACAGGAGGAAATCATTAAGAAAATATTGGAATGTGCTGAAATGAGTAGATTGACATTTGAAATTAGAGAACAAGAGGATAAACAATTTTATAAAATTTGGGATCTTTTCTATCAATGGTTAGACAATAAAGTACAGTAATGAAATATGTAGACTTTTAGAAAATAGTAAATGTATAAAGATGTACTTCTTTCTTATTATATCTACAAAATGATTTTAGGATAGATTTGGGATGATAATATGAACTGTTATAAAATAAACTAAGTAAATTATGGTTATCTTGTAAAACATGAATGAATAAAAGTATAGTCAAATGATTGATTAATAATGATACTAAGGTATTTAATTTTTGATTGACAATATGAGATTATATGTAATGTAATTGTAACTGAAGACTACGAAATGGAAGCACAAAACAATTTGTAAACCAACCGGCACACTGTATGTACACCTATGGAAGATAGCTTGATGTTTTTATGTTTTGTTTGTTTATGTTTGTTTTTAAAAACCAATAAAAAAATTTTTTTTTAAATGTGAGCAAAGGGTCCTCTGCCTGGTTGCTGGCTGGGCGTGGCCATGGTGGGTATGGCCTAGTCAGCCTCCTGCACCACGATGAGGGGGGGCGTTTTTGCCCTCCCTGGACTCCGGAGGCTTTCCCTGAGCTTCTGGGAGGGCGAAAACAGCCTCCCTGAGCTCCGGAGAGTCTCTGGAAGCCGGAAACAGGCCAATTTCCAGCCTTCCTGAACTTCCGGGTGGCCCGTTTTTCACCTTCCCCGAGCCTCCATGAGGGCCGTGCACTTACCTGCATCCAAACGGGCCGTGTGGGGACTCCTGGGAGGGGAAAGGAGAGATGGGCAGGGCCAGTCAGGGGTGGAATTTGGGGGTTCTCCAAACTGCACAGAATCTTAGCTAGGGGCTCTCCCTACGAATCCCCAGCAGCCCACACCTGCTTATCACACTCCAAGGAGTACACTGAATTTTTTCCTTCTTCACCCAGTGCCAGGGACCCTTTCTTAAATCTGGCAGTTATATTCCATTCATTTGCGGCATTTCAAGAATGAAGCTAACCCACTCTAACTTTCATTGATTTAACCCCAGCTGGGTTTAAATACGCATAAGATGCATCTAATACGTGACGATAAAGAAAACTAAACTATTAGCTATGGTTTGCTTGAATAAGGCTGACCAAGGAGCGGGCGAGATTTCCTCCCACTTTGCAGTGGGAATTTAGATGCCTGCGGTGCTTTAGCTGCCTGACTAATTTTCAAATTAATTTTTCATTTCTCCCCTCCCCCACCTCTCAATCCTGTTGTTTTCATGCTTTTTCTTTTCTTTTTTCTTTTTTGTTCCTCGCTACTGGGCGGTTTTCTTTCCTCTTGGGTATTCACAAGGCTTTGGATAATGTGGCATTGATTTTTTTTTTTTCCCATGATGAGTAGAAATGTGGGTAGCGGGTTTGAGTTTCACAATGTTTTTGCAGCCTGTTGGAAACCAGCAAGACAATCGTGTGGAGGTTCTCAAATTGACGTCTCAAGGGGGTTGTGGGCAATTTAAAAGGGAGAGGGTGGGTTGTAAAAAATTTTAAACATTGCCTTAAGCATCGTAAGGCATTTCAGACTTCTGAATATTAATAATTTACTGCTCTGTTTTCTTAAGAATGGAATGGAATGGAATGGAATGGAATGGAATAGTATAGTATAGTATAGTATAGTATAGTATAGTATAGTATAGTATAGTATAGTATAGTATAGTATAGTATAGTATAGCATAGCATAGCCCAGAACAGAACAGAACAGAACAGAACAGAACAGAATAGAATTCTTTATTGGCCAAGTGTGATTAGACGTGCAAGGAATTTGTCTCTGGTGCAGAAGCTCTCAGTGTACATTGGAAAACAACAAGGTAACAATAATCATAATATCAAAGTAATAACAATAATAAAAATGATACCAATAGGGAAGATAGTGGAACAAGAGGAACATGAATTCTGTGAAAAACAATCCACAGCTATATTCTCAGATTATTATGCTACAGAGGGTTACTTTCAGATGAACTCCTATCTATGAATTTTATGAAACATTTACATTTACCTGCTGGAATACCCTGCTGTGTCCAAAATGTTCACAGTTTTGAATTTTGCTTTGATTAAAGTATATTTTGCAGCTGGGGTGGTGTGTAAGGGTGGTGTTTGTGTGGCTATGCCCTGATCCACTGAAGCAGAGTATAAAGCTACACACACATTTGCAGAGGATGATTTTCAAGTGGTTTCCAATTCTTTTAGTAGTAGCTGACGTAGGAGACATCTATACTTCTGAAAGGCAGGAACAAGTTACAGGTAGCCTCGACTTACCAGTATAATTGAGTTCTCAATTTCAGTTGTAAGTTGTGAGGATTGTTAAGCAGGTCTTCCCATGCCTGATTTTAGGATCTTTTTGTGCAGCAGTTGTTAAGTGAATACTCTGGTCATAAAGGAAATACCATGGTTGTTAAGCAGACAGTATAATCATTAAGCAAATCCCTTGTTCGCTATCCCTCTATTGATGCAGCCTGAGACTGCATTGGCTTCAGTGGTGGGATTCAATTTTTTTTTTTACTACTGGTTCTGTGGGTATGGCTTGTTGGGCGGGCCTGGCTTGTTGGGCGTGGCTTGTTGGGCGTGGCAGGGGAAGGATACTGCAAAATCCTCATTCCCTCCCCACTCCTGGGGGAAGGATACTGCAAAAGCTCCACTAACCTGCTTTCCAGCTCTGTTCTCCTGTGTAGGGCAACCAAAGACTGATAAATTGACTCATATTTATGACGGTTGCAGTGTACTGGGGTCATGTGATCCCCATTTGCGACCTTCTGACAAGCAAATTCAATGGGGGAAGGACAGATTCACTTAACAAACATGTTGTTAACATAGCCGCTGCAAAGATTCACTTAATCAAACAAGTTTTGTTTATACATAATGCTCTTCGAGAAGATGGAGAAGCTATGGAGTACATAACCAAGCTTGGTGATACAGGTAGCCCTTGACTTACGACAGTCCATTTAGTGACCACTCAATGTTACAAAGAAGGGACTTATGACTGTTTTTACAACCTCTGCAGCAAAGTCAATGGGGAAACCAGATTAACAACCACTGCAATGATTTACTTAACAACTGTGGCAAGAACGGTCATAAATGGGGCAAAGCTCAGTTAACTCACTTAGCAACAGAAATAGGCTCAGTTGTGTTCGTAAGTTGAGGACTACCTGTAACTGAAAAGGTGGAAAGTTAGTGCAGATTTATTCTGTTGCGAATCCCTTTTATTCTGTTTCTTCAGGATCGAAGTAGAATAGCTGGTTAATACTTTACTCATTAAGACTTTCCTTCTTTTTCTCCAGATCCTTGCTCACCATGGTGGCACTGCCAGGCTTTCTCCTGCTCCTATGGATTGTAAAAGGAGTTGTGCCCTCACATCCTCATGGGAAGCCAACTTGGCCAACCTACAAGGTGCCCGTCGTTCTACCCCAGTTAACCATCCCTTTGGACAAACCCAACTTTGACTCAGAAGCCCAGCTGGAAGTGGTCTCCCCGTGTGGCCCAGCTTGCCACAAACGTTTCCCGCCCCCCACGTATGAAGAAGTGAAAGATTATTTGTCCTACGAGACGTTGTACTCCAATGGATCCCGCACCGAGACTGAGGTGGGCATCTACATTGTTAGCAGGACCAACACAGGGGGACAGAGCCGATCGCGGACAAAGAGACAAATCTACGGCTACGACACCAGGTTTAGTATTTTTGGCAAGGACTTCTTGCTGAACTACCCGTTTTCTACTTCCGTGAAGTTGTCCACGGGATGCACCGGAACGTTAGTGGCTGAAAAACACGTCTTGACGGCTGCTCATTGCATCCATGATGGGAAGAGTTACGTCAAGGGAGCCAAGAAGCTACGGGTTGGGTTCCTGAGACCCAAGCCGAAAGATAGCGTCAAAAGGACCAATCACAGTAGCGCCCTTGAGCCCGAGAAAATGAAGTTCCAGTGGATTCGGGTGAAACGGACACACGTTCCTAAAGGATGGATCAAAGGGAATGCCAACGACATTGGCATGGATTATGACTATGCCCTGCTGGAGCTGAAGAAACCCCATAAGCGAAAGTTCATGAAGATTGGAGTGAGCCCAACAGCACGTCAGCTGCCCAAAGGAAGGATTCATTTCTCGGGCTATGACAATGATCGGCCTGGAAACTTGGTTTACCGCTTCTGTGATGTCAAAGATGAAACGTACGATCTCTTGTATCAGCAGTGCGATGCCCAGCCAGGGGCCAGCGGTTCCGGAGTCTACGTGAGGATGTGGAAGAGACAGAATCACAAATGGGAGCGTAAAATTATAGGGATATTCTCAGGGCACCAGTGGGTGGACACCAATGGATCCTCCCAGGAGTACAACGTGGCCGTTCGCATCACTCCCCTCAAATACGCACAGATTTGTTTCTGGATCACGGGGAATTACCAACAGTGTAGAGATGGATAGAACCAATTGAGGTCCTAGAGCGGCTTGCTGGGGAGGGGTAGGGAAAGGGAGAGGCATGGTGGAAAGCATACGCCTAACAGCTCTGTGGGCACAGTTCCGTTTTTAGAAATGCCAGGGTGCAAGGAGTTGACTGGGAGTGTAACCAGATTAGTGTTTGGCAATAAGGCACAGTCTCCGCGCCATGACACAGATCCTGGACTTTTCCTCAGTTTTCGCCTTAGGATAAGCAATAGCGGAGGTAAAGGGGACGGGGCTGAAGCAAAGTATCTGCATCCCCCCTTTTTGCACCCTCTTTTAGGATGGGCCATTGTTCACCAACGGGGATATTGATTGGCTGACTCTTCCATCATTCTGTAGTGCAGGATTGGCTAGCTCTGATAGGAAGGCAACTAGAGAGAGACACGGGCATCCGTTTTTAAATCCAGTGATGCCAAAATAGCAAATAGAGGATTGTGACATCACAAGGCAAGCTCTGCACTTCTGGATGTGTCTTGTATCATCAGTTATTATTAGTATATAAGGAGACTATTAATTTACTTTGGGATGTCGTGATACACTTTTCACCATTCCCTTTTCCTTAGAGATTTTCCACGGTGGTGCTTCTCCTTCTCTTCCTCCTCCTCTTCTTCCTCCTCTTCCTCCTCCTCCTCTTCTCACCATTTCTCCTTCCTGTCTGGTTGGTGATTTCCCACAGTCCTCCTCTCCCTCCCCTCCCTCTCCTCCTCCTCCATTCTTCAATTCCCAATAAGAACCAACAAGACATAGAAATGGGATGCCAAAAGTACTTGAAAAGCAAAAGACAAGAGGAACTTAAGCTGGTATTCTTCTAAAAGAAGTGGCCAACAAAATGCGAATCTTTGTCCAAATTGAGTGAACCCTGAACACATATTTTAAGGTAGAATGCCATTACTTTCTCTGCTTTCTTTTTTAAGGGCCTATCAAAATTTGAGATCTGGATGTGCAGTAGCTTTCTCCAAGGGTCATGCTAGCCATAAGTCTGGTATGGTATTGAAACACATATTTGATTACGTGACCATGGGAATGCTGCAATAGTTGTAAGCATAAAAAATGGTCATAAGTCACTTTTTTCAGTGCCATTGTAACTTCAACCAGTCACTAAATGAACTGTTGTAAGTCAAGGACTGCCTGTACTGCATTAGAATGGAACAGTTTAATACCCACAGTACTCCTCTCTGTATTTCATGAAATCTTTTTCCTTTATTTCTAAGCATTTAGAAATGTATTGAGCTGTTCCCTGAAGTCCTCCTGCTTTGAAAGGTGTCATGGAAGGTCGAAGACCACTTGGCCAACACAGGAGCTTGTAAATATTTATAAACCTTGGCTAGAAATGGAAACATGCATTGTAATTCTACTTATTTTGTAAGGATGTTCAAATACAGCATGTGTTTAACACCTCCTCTGTTTCTTGTTGTGTTTCTTGGTTTACTTCCTCGTTTTCTTCTTGTGAGAAAAGTGCAGGCTGTTAAGAAGATAAGAATAACCCGGCTAGATCAAAGCAAGGCCAACCTAGAGGTGACATGGAGTCTTCAAGATACAGTAGCAATAAGCACTTAGACTTATATACCGCTTTACAGTGCTTTACAGCCCTCTCTAAGCGGTTCACAGAGTCAGCAGATTGCTCCCAACAATCTGGGTCTTCATTTTACCCACCTCGGAAAGATGAGGCTCTAGAAAAAGTGCAGAGAAGAGCAAGAAGATTAGGGAACTGGAGACTAAAATATATGAAGAACGGTTGCAGGAACTGAGCATGGCTAGTCTATTGTAGAGAATTCCAATATTTGAGGAGCTGCCACAGAAGGGTAGGGGGGCTGTCAAGCTATTTTCCAAAGCACCCGAAGGCCAGACAAGGAATAATGGATGGAAACTGAACAAGGAAAGATTCAACCTGGAAATAAGGAGAAATTTTCTGACAGTGAGAACAATCAACCAATGGAACAGAAGTTGCCTTCAGAAGTTGTGGGAGTTTCATCACTTGAGACTTTGAAGAAGAGATTGGACTGCCATGTGTCAGAAATGGTGGAGGGTCTCCCACTTGGGTGGGGGGTTGGACTAGATGACCTACAAGGTCCCTTCCAACTTTGGTTATCTTTAAATGGAAGGCTGAGTCGACCTTGAGCCTGGTGAGATTTATAAAAGCCCACTATAAACAGCGATCCCTAACTTTTCTGGCTCTATAGACCTGCACTGACGGCAGCTATGGGCAGAAGTGTGGGGAGGAGGGGATGGTTTTGCACACACAACCCAATCTCACACAAGCACAACTAAAGCTTTGCATGCTCATCTGCCAATTGCATAGCCTGGTTGGTTCCCAATGAGCCACAGACCAGTGCTGATCTGTGGACCAGGGTTTGGGGGTCCCTGTTCTATTACTTTGTCTTCCTTTGTTCAATACCCTTTCAAAGACATCCAAATTAGTGGCCATCACCAGATCTTGTGGGAAGGCATGACACAGTTTAGCGATGCGTGTGTGAAGGAATGCCTCATCTATATGCTACCAAATCCTTTTGTGTTCTTTAACTGGGAGAAATGGGACACCAAAGGGCAATAATTTCTGAACCTAGATACCTCAAGTGGTCTAGCTTATAGGATGTGTACAAAATCGGAGGCCCTTGACCCTGGAACTAATGAAATTTGGGGAATTGTGGCTGCTTCAGTGATGACTGCGGCTGCTCATGGTCTCCATTTTCAATGTTCTGTGACAGTTTCCCAGCCAATCTCACAATCCCTTGATCCTTCCCCACCCAGCAGCAGCCACTTGCGAAGGGAATGGAATGGAAGGAGAGGGCAGGGGAGGAAAAAAGGGAGGGAAGAAAGAAAGGAAGTTTCTTGATGCTGTCTACTAGATTCTCACAAGAAAACTCAGTGGGGAAGCCAGCAGGAAATCAGACATCGCTTCTAATCCTGCTGTTTTTTGGGTCACGCTGCTTCTCTGTCTAGGTAAGGAAATACTTGTGAAATGATGATCTGATGGGGCACAGGTTGTCTAATCTTCCCAACATTAATATTTAGTCAGTTTCACTGGTTTTAGAGCTTGGGGAGTAGATGAAAATTCTTCTTTTCCACTTTTTCCAGGCTATGTCTAATTTCATACGGCACCATTCGTTTCCTCACAATTCACTGTTTTTCCCTAAAAGGAACCTAAGTGTTCTAATTTTTTTTCTTAATTGCATCTTTCCATGAACTTTTCACCTCTATTTGTTGGGTTTTGAGCGTGCAAAGTAGGTTGTCCTTTTTTGCCAAAAGAAGGACAGACCATCGGTTGTAGAATCAAAAAATTCACCACCTCCAATCCTTTTATTATTATAACATAAATTCATAATGCCTCTATTTATTGTTCCAGGGGTGCTTGGAAATTGTCCAGCTTGAATTTTTCTGGCCGGCAAACACGACATACTCGAAATTCTTCCCCGTCATTGCCTTTTGTATGGTTGTTCCTTGATGGAGAGCCCTGTTTATGCATAAAAACACTCAGGCTGTCCTTGAGAAGGGAAGCATTTGTGGAAGGAAGATTGACAGCAAAACAATAAGCGCAAGGATAATGTTCACATTTCCGTAGAGACCTAAGAAAAATCTCAGGTTTTGTGCCACAATGAAGGAGAATTGCTAGGAACTACATATTCATATAGCTCAGCGGTGGGCAACTACGGCAACTTGATGGCTGTGGGCTTCAACTCCCAGAATTCCTGGCTTCCTGAACATGGCTGGCTCAGGGATTCTGGGAGTTGAAATCCACAGGTCATAACGTTGCTATAGTTCCCATCCTGATCTAACTGGGGGTCAAATCATGGTGTGTGTGCGTGCGTGCGTGTGTGTGTGTGTGTGTCTGAATGTGGTCTGGCAGCTTCACATATGGTCATTTGGGCCCTTTGTTGGTGGAGATGGTGAGGAACATCATTTGGGATTTGCTATTTCTCACTTTTGTCAAACTTGCTTGTTGAGCTGGAAAGTTATGCTATGTGTTTTGGGTTGTATTTCCCAAACATGCACATTTTTATTGTGCAATCTTATTTACAATTTATGTACCAGTTTTGGTTTCACCCCCTTTTTTATGGCTGGGATCCTGTCAATTTCATTTCTTTATTTCCTCAATAATTTGTCAAATCTGGAATGTCAAGCTTGAATTTTCTAATTATATGCATTTGGGTGTACTTTTCCCCAAATATATGCCAATGTGTTTATAACTTTTCCAACACTTTCCTTGCATACAATGCATAATCTTCAATAATATGTCTTTTTACATAAATAGGACTATCATCAAAGGGCAAGCTGCACTAGAATAAATGAACATTTCAAACGAGAGCTACATTTTCATTGCTTGAACATTTCACACTAATTAAGTTTGCATTCAGTGCAAACAACCCATATTTTTGTTCCTTATCGCTTGTTCTGTCCTCACTGCACTAGTTTATTTATTTATTTTTGTCACTTGCTTACAAGATAATAGGTATAAGTAAAAACGTAGTTATGTATATATGGATACATATAAGAAAAATAAATATAAAATATAAAAGAAACAATAGGACAGGGAAGGTAGGCATGTTTATGCGCTTATGCACGCCCCCTACAGACCTCTTAGGAAAGGGGTGAGGTCAATAGTAGACAGTCTAAGGTTAAAGTTTTTGGGGTTTCAGGGAAAAAAACCCACAGTCAGGTAGAGTATTCCAGACAATGACCACTCTGTTGCTGAAATTGTATTTCCTGCAATCAAGTCTGATGCGATTAATCTTGAGTTTGTATCTATTGTTTGCTCTTGTGTTGTTATGGTTGAAGCTGAAGTATTCATTGACAGGTAGGACATTGCAATGTATGATTTTATATACTATACTTAGATCCGACCGAAGGAGGCGTAGTTCTAGGTTTTCTAGGTCTAGAATTTTGAGTTTGGTGGCATAAGGTATTCTGCAATGAGTAGAGGAGTGGAGAACTCTTCTTGTAAAATATTTCTGGACTTTCTCAACTATGCTAATATCAACTATGTAATGTGGGTTCCAGACTGATGAGCTGTGCTCGAGTATTGGTCTAGCAAATGTTTTGTATGCTCTAGTTATTAGTGTAATATTACCAGAGAAAAAGCTACGTAAGTCTGTGTGCAGCTCAACATGCAGCTAAACTCACCTAGCCTCCAATAAAACAGACCGTGTGCGTAGATCTGAATGTTTTATTGAAAGAACAGGATATGGTGAAACTGGGGGAAATAGGGATATATACAATGAGAATCAAATACAAGATAGGCAGTACAGAGTTACTGCTGAACATAACAATTAATAAATACAAGCAATTCAAATCTCACCAGCAATGCTCTGTGTGAGGGATGTGGGTTTGTCCTTGGATGACCATGTGCACAGATTAAGATGGATTCTTCTCTGTGCTTCTGCCTTCTCCAAATGCTAAAGGAAATGGAAACCGGCTTCCCAGCCTGCACTTGGTTTGAGAGTGCAGGCTGATGGGTATGTGGGTTGGGTCAGCTTCAAACAATATACTTGGCCTTTGTCCCTTTGGCCACTAGATGGGACTAGAGAGCAACAATATATAAAAATGATATGCTGGCGCATCACATCGCTAAGCATTAGCAGCAAGTGATTCCAGATATGGATGGCTTCTTTGGAAAGCCATTGTCAGGGTTCCGGCTGTTACTCCAATTAAATAATGCGCCTTGAGCCACACTCCCAAAACTTCAAAGGATTTATTTGAAGCTACCATTTTACATCTGGCACTAACTTGAGCATAGACAACTCTGAGATACGTAATTCACTGTCACCCTTGATCCTGCTTTTCCACCCACCCTTCTGGATATATCATCCAATGAAAAACATCCATAGCCGAGAGTCATCAATCATTCTCTCCAATTAGATATTTGTGCGGCAGAAGCTTCAGTCATCTAATCAGTCTTTGAAGAAAATATGAATGGAATGTACTTTCGATTCCACACTGCCGCCTGTTCTTTGAAACTCATATCCCCTTCTTCCTATAAAATGTGTATACAAAATGTTTTATGAGTTGACAGCCACCTTTAATCAATCAAGGTTTTTTGCATTTACATTCTTTTTCACAATGGCGTTACTGAGTTAAGAACCACAGTGATTCACTTAATAACTGTCGCAAGAAAGGGGAGCAAGAAAGATTGGGGCCAAACTCACTTAATAGCTATCTTGCTTAGCAATGGAAATTTTGGGCTCGGTTATAGTGGTAGGTTGAAGACTACCAGAGCCTTCAAGGTGATTTCAAGGTGAACGAAACCCTCCAACTCTTTCTCCTTTTAACAAACAGATTGAGAGATCAAATCCACAAATCTGTTATCCGACATAAGGGAACCTATAAGAAAGAGTAGGCAAAACAGCCACTGCCCTTCTCATCTCCTGCCTTAAGTAGTATTTTAATAACAATGGAGC